GAAAGAGAAAGAAAGAGGGTCACTGCTTCTCGCCAAAGGAGGAAAGAGAGCGGAGTCGTTGTGGTGTGATTGTTACTCTGACCGAGCTGCGTGCCATATGGCGCCCGGGTGGCGGCCGAAATTGCCCTCTGATTGGGTTATGTCGAGGTCAGGCCAGAAGACTAATGAGGCGTCTCGGCGTCGCCAGCGATACGCCGCACCCGCGGCCACAGTCTCGCGTCGACCGTCGATGGCACGACCGGTCCCCAGGGCGTGCGTGAGCCCGCCGCTCGTCACCGAGAGTGCATTGCGTCGTCGATGGGATTGCGGGCGAGTCGACGGCGTCGAGCGAAATCTGAAGCGGATTTGATTGATCTGAGCCGCTGGGACGTGGCTGTCTGAGGGGAGAAGACGTTTGTGATTTCTTTCGTGAATTCGTTCGCGTTTTCGTTCGTCTGCTGGTTCGACAGAGAGTGGTTAATCGATCCAGTGTCGATTGACTCGAGGACCACGTGGTGACCTCCAGTGGTCTTGAGCAGCTCAGCCCAGGCAGTGGATTCCGGTTGACAGTAGACATGTGCTTGAAGTGTTTCTAATCCCGAACTGGTGCGTATGCTTGATCGGGGATAAGTCGTGCTGTTGACCGGAGAGCCGTGTGACATCGAAGTAGCAGTGCCAGATCAGATACTGTGTGACGCGTTATACGTTGTACGGTTTTGGCGACCTTTGAATGATTGTCACTCACCAGTGAAGTGCCGAAATCCCCACGTGACTGGGGTGAAGAACGAAGGCAGTTTCGGTGGAATAGAGACGGCCTCACGACCCTCGGGGCGACAAGTCAACGAAGAGGGCAGCTTTGCATTCAGTTGGCTCAGCCTCGCCTGTGATCAGCCGGGAACGCCTCGGAACTTCTGCGGTCATAGAAAGTCTACCAAGTCGAGGAACTTTGAAATGCTGTACATCGTCATTATTTAGAAAACTTCGGCAATGTCTTCATTCGCGACCTGACGTCATGCGGGATAAACACTGCTAAAGCAGCTGGGCGTAACGTCGTTCTTGAGTTTCTGTGCAAAGTCTGCTGATCCGCGAAGCTTAGGGAAGCATCCAAGCTACATCATTCCTGCAGAAATGAGTCCCCTACTTGGCATCGTCTTTCAGCTGGGTATGGTGATTGTATGGTAGCTGACGAAGTAGCTGAGAAGGTAGTAGCTTCTCGTTATGGTGTGGTGATTGTTTGGTAGTTGACAGAAGGCTGTAGATAAAATGGCGCATGCTGTACGTAGCATGCTGTACTTTCGCAAAAATCTCGACATAACCATTGCAGTTTTTCTCATTTTTGAAGCTGGATAGTACTTTGCATGATACAATGTTCTTGTCATTTTGGAATTAATGTCATACTCATGGTTAATGGACATGCGAGCTCTCTGCTAATGGATTTCGGATAACAACAAAACACCATTAATTAATGTTGTGTTAATTTCGAAGTGACATGAAATACAAACAAGGCCCGCGATGGCTCTGACGAACTGAGCTCCGCCTCCGCTATCGCGTTTGGGCCGCCCGATTAAAAATGCAGTACACTGTAAAAAATATTGACTAGCCCCTCGTCAAATGATTCTCAACGCTAAATGTCGGGGGTACAGACTAGTTTTGCATCCTACTTTTGACACACGCTGCGAGCCCCTGGCTTGTTTTGTGTTCGTCAGATGACAGTTACCAGGTGTCGGTTAGTTTTTACCACGTCCCAAAAATAGCTGGAGCGTTTCTGCCTTGTTTTGGAAGCAGGTCCTCGTTAATGCTGTGTATGATAACAAAGTACCTAGTAACAATAATAACGAAAAACAATGTCAAAACGAGGGCGGCTTGTTTAGTGACGATGTTCAAAAGAAGCATCGTCTTGTTCCTACTTAACGAATGAAGCTCAAACTAGGTCAAAACTAGGGGCCCAACTAGGCCCTAATCAACCCATAGTCAGATGACCAGCAGATCCTACGCCGCCCAATCCAGTCATCGAATTTGCCAGCGAATTCGTTTGAAGACCATCATATTATTAAATATCGGTGGTCTTCAAACGAAATCCCTTACCAGTTTGATGAAGAATTCATCCGGCCCATTCCAAAAACGCTCAAAATAAAATGAAAGTGTATTTCTGAAATAATGTGCTTTCTTGCAATGCACCTTTCGTATATCAAGCGAACCTTTCACTTCCAGCGCCCGTTTACAGTTATCAATCGAATCAGAAGCATGCACATACCTATCGATAGATCTGAACCTAAGAACACAGAAGACATTTTGTAGAGTACCTGTCTGAGCCTATATGCAGTGGAGCCCGTGAGCCGCCCAACCGCAGCTGCCTCATGAACTTGATGATAGGTCTGAACCTCAGATTGGCCAGAGCTTGGCCGTCAATAACCAGCTTATTTATATCCACAGTTGTAGTGACTTAGGGTTTAGAATTTGCCAAACCTAAGTTTTGATTACCAAGAGAAGTTTTGTACTTCTTGCACTTGCCTTTTCTTCATAACTTTGGCGGAAATCGTCGTAGTGAAACTTCAGTGTTCCGTTAGCTGTCGGTTCTTGAGAGAGTTGGCCAGGCCGGACACCGGGGGCGGCTCCACAACTTTCGAAAAATTAAACCTAATTCCTATTGCACTGCATGGAGAGCAATTCATTTAAAATCGCTCTTGTCCCCCCCCCCTCGACAACTTTGCAAACGTCTCTGCGCGACTTGGTTGAGAATAATGGCTTATGGCAAGTTATTGAATCAGAACGTCGATCACTGCAGGTCATATATCGGCAAGCAATTCTTCATAACTAGACACTGCACAAATGGAAACGATACAGGTTTGCCCAGTGATAAACACTCGCACTTCACAGACTCGCGCACCCCGACCGAACGCGGCACGGCACAGCGCAACTGGCACCGGGAAGCCGGGAACGCATTAAGTGAAGGATTCACAGGTGCGCAACTTTCTTGCGAACAACAAAAACCTACCGCAAACGATTAAAAAAAAGTTTTAGGGCAATCGGAAATACAAATGTATTGACTTATAGAAATAAAATTGTCATTCACCTTCCAAATAACCCAACAATTTATTTGCCGTAAAAAGTGTCTGGAAATGGAAAGTTGCAAACATGATTCAGCAAGTAGGGAAACGCAGCAGCTACCTGGCGAATAATCTCAGGCTGGTTTAGTGACGAGTGCATTGCTACGGCTTGTTCCTCACCCTTTACAGATTACTATGACAAAACTACCCCTAGTATTTTGATCATCCTGAAGCTGGCTTTCACCTAATAATTTGATGAGGGTCTTCCTCGTTTCGGATTGAGGCGAAAACAAACGTCAAACAACCTTGATAGTTAATTCAGCACTTCAAAACAAAGGTACACCTAGGGCTAGGGTATCATTACAATACCGGATCATAACGATCTGGATAGTTCTCAGCCTATAAGCTAACTAAGCGGTAACTATGTAGTCAAGTGGTAGATACCGGAAGCATTGGCAACCTGGTGACTGTTTCAAGACCCTTGTTTTGACACATAGCTCGTCAATATTTTTTACAGTGTAGGTACCAACATGACGTGCGCTGTTCCATTTCCGAGTTCCCCTTACCTGGAGAGAATCGATCTCTTAAACCCAATTTCAGACACAGCGAAAGGTCGGCAGGTGTATGCTTATCTCCCTAGCACCCTTCCTGGTTGATGACATCCCCTTGGCTCTCCCGGCTGGGATCAGCCCTGATCACCGGTTTATGTGACTGACGACCATTAGCGTGCTGGCAGTACCATTAACGGCTACCAATGTCATCAATGGCGCCAGTAACTGTCGATAAGAGGGGTCAGGCCGTCCGGTAGCGGTCTGCCAATGGCCCACGGACGTTCGAGAATTGAGAGCGGTATCAGGTGAACGAGTTAACCTTTACGTAGAATGTCTACCGATGGACCCATCTTGGTGGAATGCAGATGTTCTTCGGTGTTCTCCCAAGTTGTTTGGACGACGATGCATCCAAGGCATGCGGTGTTTACTGTTTGTGCTACTGAGGGTCACCTATAAAATAAATGTTGATGTCTTGTCCCCTCATTTGTCTGCCTGAATCCGTCCTTGTTGAATGTTGAAGTTATCGCTGCATTACTCCAGTTCACCAAATACACAATTTGGTCGAATGTTAAGTTTGGAGTGCTAAAAAATATGCATTATTTTGGCAAGGGCTAAGTTTTGACAAACCTGACCAACTATTTGTATGCGGAAGCCACATGACTCTGGCAAATGCCATGATAAATGGAATGGCAAATGTGTCGCCACCGGGCTTCGCGTCGCTGCCCAAGTAGTGACTTGACCTGCCAAGTGGTGTGGCACTCGGCACTCCCAGACCTCCGGCGCCGATCCGCGATTATTATCTCCCGATGTTTCTTGTTCTTAGTCACCAAAATATACTGAACTGAACTGAACTGAACCTCGTTCTCGTCGCCCTGCGGTCCGTTCAGATTCCCTGGACATGACGCGGCCATGTTCGTGCTCCCCAGCGCGATGCCGCCGCTATCATCGGCCTCCCGACATGTCGATGACGGCTTCGCTCATCGCCTCCGACAGGGGTGGTGACGCAGCGGTCCCTGTCGACAGGGGTGGTGACACCCCGGGTGTCGGAGGGGATGCTGTCCTGTCGGCAGCGGGGTGGTATAGCGTACCCCACAGGATGTACGTACACCGATGTTGGCGGTGTTAACGACAGTGAGGGGCGCCGCCCTGGTGACAGAAGGCGGTTAATTAGACCGTCGACGGAAAGTGTGAGGTGTCACTCCCTGGTGGGTGCATTTTTAGTGTCGGCTTTAATCACGCTTATGATATCCATCTTGCTGGTGGCGGTTGAGTTGAAACCGTGGAATGTTGAAATCGCGTGTTTACGAGCCTGCTATTCGTAAAAGTGACTGGGTGTTACTCTTATAAGCTTGCCCAGTATATCCCTCTCGTAGCTTGCTCAGAGTTTCTCGCTGTTACCTGACCTTTTCTCCTCTCATTTCAGCTGCACTTGCCCAGGAGGAGCAAGTCAAACTGGAAATCCTGCCATCGCAGGCCAAGATTCGTCGCGACCTCGGCAAGCAGGGATTCTTCACATGTCGGGCCGCAGCCGGCTTCGAGGATCTCATCGATGACATCATCTGGCTCAACCCGGAGAACATTGAAGTGCCGGCCGAGTCGCGGGAAAGGTAATAGTCTATCTCGTAACTGCCTTTCACTTTTCTCGCTACGCCACTGGCCTCACTTTTTTATTCTTTGTTTTCGTTACCTGTTTGAATTCAGACACTAGCGCCCTGGTTGGCCACAAAGAATTGTGTCCGCACCGCTGTCCGCCATGCGGCTGCGCGTTTTGCTAATTTTCCCTAAGTTGCTCTCAGCCTCGCTAAGCCATGAGTTGCTATCCTGTGCGTGGCACTGGCGGTCTGCCCCGCGCCGCTCAGACTTCGCCAACAATAACTGACGTCTGCCCTCTTTTTTCTTTCTCCTCCTGTCGTGTCCCCGTGCAGTACCGACCAGCCGACGCCCAGGTAATTTTGTCACACCGCTACCGCCTCTGTACGTGTGTAGCTCGCCGCTGTGTGTGCAGCGCTCGATGGCATGAATCAAGGAATGAGGTGAACCAACTGCTGACTTCGCTATCCAAAGAGAAACTTTTTGTACCATGATCGAAAGATTTCAGGCATCAGCTGTCTTAGAACCCCACATATAAATGTCTGTTCTTGCTTATTTTTACTTGAAAACGAATTTTCATTTCATTTATTTTATCCAGGAATTGTGATTTAAATTCAATATTCGCCAGTCTGTGAAATCCTTGCCACCATTTGAAAACTGCAACCATTGCAAAGAAAAGAAGGATACAATCGTAGCCTTTCTTTCTTCACACGTCAGCAGCTGGATCACCTCTGTCCCAGCTTGGCGGCTTGCGTTGCTGGCTTTGCTCCAGGACTGGCTATATGCCTCAGTGATGTGTATGGTCGTCTGGTATCTTGTTTAGCCTGCTCGTCGCTGCAGAAAAGCTTGCTCCGGACCGAAGTGTGAATAGTGTCGGAGATATCGTGGTCGACCCAGGGTCGACGCCAGGTGGCTGCCTCTGACCTTTTGAACAACATTGGTTACTGGTGGCCTAAGGTCAGGGGCCTGCTTCCGTCAAGAAGCTTTCCTTCCTGGCCTCAGGCGTTTATTTTGACTGCAGTTGACCACAGCCAAAATAACCGGCAAGGCCTGGGACAAGGCCGGTTTGTAAGCAGACTTGCTGTTGAGCATGCACTCTAAGTAGATTATGTAAGTGGTGTAGATAGTGATCTGATGCATCGATGATAATGTTCTCTGACAATGTCGTATCTTTATATTACGCCGCTAAGGTAGATGGTTTCGCTTATTATTTCAATTATGTGCAAGGGCTTATGAACTTTTCAAGGTACCACCGGTCATTTGCGTGCTCTTTGCTAATGCGTCCCTTCGTTACTTTGTTTAAGATAAAAGACGTATTTGAATTATGCACCGAATTACATGCCGACTACTGGGCCCGCATAAGAGAACAACGACTCGGCATCTACAGTGGCTAAATATTCTCTTTTTTATCTAAACCAAGTTTGCTCTATGTCGATTTTGTATCGCTTCATTTCAAGTTCAGTGAAAACCAGCACTTAATTTGAACACATATCTGAAGGTACTTACACGCACTTCTATCTAGAATGAAGCTATAAAACATTTACGTCTTTTACATACATGTGATAGGCAACATGCAGTTTTCTGTTAGACACAATGCTATTGAAACGTTACACTTTGTGTAATTGAACACATATCCATGCAGCAGAACCATGCCGATTACTTGGGCCACCAGCTCGCCTTCGATTCATAAATCAGCTGTTCGTGGGTGGCAAGTCTGAGGCATTTCATGATTTTGTGTATTGTTTTATTCCGTTTATGTATAATCAAATGAAAAAAGGAGCAATGATGTCTCGTAGCTTTGGATTTACAAATAGACAATCTGAACAGATGTACGTTTTGCGAAGTTTAATTGCTCTTTTTTGTCGTCATGTTTGGTTTCACGCAGGCGTCGTCGTCTGACATACGATGTTGGCTGGTTTGTGCGGCACAAGTGACGCCACTGTATACATATACGACGCGGCCAGTCACCATCACACCAGAGGAGGTGGTGTGGAAATATGTAGAGTTGACAGTTGACACCGATGAGGGCCAGACAACCACTACGCTAACCTTTTTTCTGGCCTACGCTTGTTTGTCCCCATTGCTTGACTTTTAGGTGATTTTTTGTAAAGACATTATATAATATATGTTAAAAATCTTCTTTGACATTTATGGGAACATGTTACGGGAAGATTATTTGATAAATTTCGCAAAATATTCCAATTTTCATGTAAGGTAGTAGCCAGTAGGTATCATCGAAAACGTCATCATTCCACGAGAATTCACAGCAGCTGCAGCGCCTCTGGGCCGCACTCAGCTTGGTCGGGCACAGGTCGCCTGTGTCCGGCTTACCACTCTGCTCCGCTGCCTGGTGCGAGGGCGGAGCCACGCTGATGGTTGCAGGGGTCAGCTGTCTGCCTGACCGCGGGGTCGCGGGGTCGTGACTCCAGCGGCGGCGGCGGCGGGGCCGCAGGTGTCGGGCGTCTCCGTGCAGGCCTCTCCGTGTTGTACATATTTGTGTTTATGTTTGTGTTTGTTTGTCGTATGTAGAGTGGTGATGGTTTGTCAAATGGTGGGAGGTGATGGCTTATCTTTGCTGGTTATTGTCCGGTTCTCGTTTTGTGGATATTCTGCGTCATGTTCTGTGATCTGCCTTGTATTACAATGGATGGATGCGACACATGTGGATATTGTGGTGTTGTTTTTGCTGTGATAATTATTTACGGCGATATAAAAAAGACCAATACGTGAACTTGAATAGGTGCTGCTGTACTTAGCTGTAGGGCCATCTGGCTCCCGTTACTGACCTACATATCAATGCATCCCATCTGTAATGCCCGACCAATGCATCCCATCTGTAGCGTAAGGCCCGACGTTCAGCCGAGCGCCCGTTGACCTCAGTGATTCATCGCGCACAGAATGATGGATTGTGACAGCATGCACTCGTCCAGTACCAATGTTTGCGTTGGTCCAATATGAATCGGACTGGCTTTCGCTGATTGCCAATTAGATTGCTTTGATTTGATGCATTTTGATGTGATGTTAGCCGGCATCGAGTCCTGGGAATGCATCCTGAGGGTCGTTTGTAGAGCTCAGACATTTTGGTTCGGTGTATATCGAAATTCGTTTGATGCAATTCTACAGAGACGTAGTTGATGTTGTTTGTACAATTTGTCGTCGTAGGTTGTTTCTTTAATAATTTCATGTATGTACTTTGCCAGTGCATAAGCTTTATCTGATATGGTTTGTTGTCCGATTGACAATTTAGGAATCACTGAATAATTTTCATAGCCTTTGCTATCTAGGTCCTATACTTTATTCAAAAATATATGTAACTAGTTGGCGTCATAAATTATGAAACAATATTAATAATTCAGCTGCAGCTCTTCTGGCCTCCTCATCTGCTGCATTTTTGCTTTATTTTATGTTTCGGATTAGTTATGTTGCCGTATCCGCTTCCATGGTTCTATATTCGCAGCTAGCAGATATGTTCAATAATAAAAAAGTAGCTGCTCTATCTAGAAAGTATTCAATTTGTAAACATAAGTATTTAGTGCTAAATGCCATCTTGATTTAAATTGGGCAGCCTTCTCTTTCGAATAAGTTCATCAACATGCACTTTTTTCCATTTGTATCCTGCATTCAGTGGATGTTTGACCTGGTTCAATCTATTGAACGGTCCTTTGACCTCTGACCTTATGAACGTATGTCAATAGACCTCTCTGACCCCGTGACCTGCGTCATTCAACGTGCTTCGTTTAAGTCCTTCTACATCGGGCTATTCATCATTGCTGTCCTCAGTGACATGGTGACCTGCACCAGTTGAACTGTGACCTGGTGACATGTTCCAAGTGACTGAATTAGCCTGCGATGGTTGACCTGTGTGACCCGCATTGACCTTTGTCGGCTGACCTCTGTGACCTGCACTAACCTGTGTCGGCTGACCTCTGTAACCTGCACTGACCTGTGTGTGTGGCGCTCCGACAGAATATACACGGGCCAGTTTGTGCCAAGCAACGGCCGCGAGCTGTTCATATCGCCGATACAGGAGCAGGACTCGGGCATTTACACGTGCAAGGCGCGCTACGCCACCAACCAGGAGGTCACTAAGGCCTTCGAGCTCGTCGTCTACAGTGAGTACCGATACCTGATCGAAGAGATGTGGCTAAACGTGTTTCAGAGGTGGGGCCATACTGTGGTGTTGTTTGAGACACTTTGTTGTAAAACTTTTGCAAATCCACCTGTTTTGAACTGTAAAGAATTCAGAAAGCATGCGCTGACATTTGTGCAGTGCAACCAAATGCAGCTTACATACCCACGATGACGGCCACCCTTTTACCATACAATATGGGGACGAGCACCCCACCCATAAACATCGATGGTATGCCTCCTCAGCACAAATAAAAAATCCACTGGCATCTCGCCAGTAGCGGCGGAAAACCTTCAATTAAGGGGGGGGGGCACTGCCGACTTTTGGTCCCATTCTTTCCATAAAACGCCCATAGGGCTAATGCTAGAATCGCAAAATCAAGGGGGCACGGTGCCCCGGTGCCCCCCCCCCCCCCCGTTCCGCCGCCTATGCATCTCGCACTGGCCATTGATCATGTCTGTCTTGCTAACATGCTGTCCTTGTCACGGACGCTGCCTCTTGGTGTTAGCCATGGCTGTTCCGTAGTGTTCGGCGCTATTTGATGCCGTCTAAAGGCGGTAGCATATATCCGGTTTTGCCAAAATGGTGTGGTTACTTGCTCAGTACTCGGTTTGGGCTCACACTTAGCTGGGTTTGTGGTGCTCATTGGGATTCCATACAGTGGCAACTGTGACGGTGAACTTGGCAGGCTGTGAGCCGTGTCGGTTGTGGTTTGTGAACCCCATTCGTCTGGGAGCATAGGCTGGTCGGGCTTGGTACACCAGACATCGTGGTTTATCGCTTCTCGCCTCTTTTATCGCACCTTTGGCCTTCTTCGGTCATGACCTTGCGATGGTGGCGAGTCTGGCCACATGCAAATCCTAAAGTGGCCGTCTTAGCATTTTACTCTGCAATGCATGGATCATTGCATTTCTTTTGACGGCATTGAAGAAATGCAATGATCCGTCATTCTTGACCAATAGTTGTTCTGTTAATTTCACTGTGCTCTCATGAGCGGCAGTGAAAGACGAAGGTCACGTGATATGTGCGGCAAGATGGCCACGGCGATAAAACGAGAACCACGTGACCGTTTAGCCAGTCTTGACCCTCACGCTTCAAGCGTCAAATTAATAGTACGAGGAAATCAGGGAGCAAAAGCTTCGATTGGTGTGGGAAGAAACGGGTCAATAACCGTCAGCCCGGTGCACTGTTTGCTAAACCATAAATTTGCAGTTTCAGTAATCGGTCGTCACGCTTCCAACGTTTATCTACTTCGCTGGGAAGCTCGTGACCGCCATGTGGACTGCTCGGCGGACGTGATAGTTATTTGCTGCTGCAGATAATGAAACCAGCAGGAGATTTCACACAGATAACGAACTGGTTACTTTCGATTTCGGTTTCTGCCGCCGTTTGTCCTAATCTCCCATTGAACAAGGTTTTGTCCCAGCTCATCATTGTTGTGGCTAGCCCGAGAGCCGGGCAACCGCAGCCCGGATTCTACAGCCGTGTTTAGGGGGAACTGAGCACCAGTTTTCCGATGCCTGCGCCAGCAGTTGCTGTGTATAACGAGTCAGTGCTGCGCTGCCGCCATCGTGCAAACGAGTTATAAATCCCGTCTGCACTTTGGCTGTGGTCCGCCTGAATCATTTGTTGACGGCAGTCGCAGGGGAGTGCAGTTGATAGGAAGATAGGGTGGGTGCGACGCTGACCGCGGCGATGCTAGACTAAAATGGCTGGTGGGGGCTGGCTGAATGTGTGACAAAAGCGATGAAAAGCATGATGCCTTGAAAAGTCAACACTGCAGAACAGTAGTTTGAGCGAAGACCGATGATAGAGGAAGGTGGTTGCTGGGACTTCAGGGGAAAAGCAGGAGCTTTGGTGGGTTCAGCCAAGGAGATGGCATGAAGGAGGCTCGGACGAAGAAGACAACGTTTTGACTGGGACGAGAAGAGAAGGTGAGAAATTCGCAGTAGTTAGTTGAGCTCCGGCTAAGGTTGTGGTGACGTTACAGTCGCTTGTCTAACCCCTGGCTGCCCTGACCGGTTCCCTATACAGAGACCGTCACGCCGCAGCACACATGTATCAAAGCCGCAGCCTGCAGCTGCCAGGTTACGACCAAGGGGCGCGGGTTACGAGCCTTGGACAGCATGACGGCGCGTCCGCCAGGGTCGCTCATTGAGCTGGGAACCAACGCCATCTGCATATTTACCACAGCAGTAACGGACACTGCGCCGGTTCTCTCTCTCTCTCTCTCTCTCTCTCTCTCTCTCTCTCTCTCTCTCTCTCTCTCTCTCTCTCTCTCTCTCTCTCTCTCTCTCTCTCTCTCTCTCTCTCTCTCTCTCTCTCGTCTTTCACTTTCGCTCTATCATTTTCGCTCTCGCTCTCGCCTTCTCCGTCTTCGTCCCTCTCCTTCTTCTTCAGAATCTCTCCATTTCTCCCCTTCTCTCTTTACATCCATCTCGCTATCCACTTTATTGTCTTTCCTCCCTCTTTCTCCATATTGCTCCTATCTTTTTCGCCATGGTCGACCCTTTGCTGCCGCTCTAAGTCTACTCAGACTGCCGCTCTAAGTCTACTCAGTGGTCACCGGAGTCGACGAATGGTCTGTGGGGTCGGAGTTGTTCATTTCCTCTGGACGGGCTCGCATCGACCGTCCGTTTCTCTTCCAATGAATTATAGCTTCGTCCTGTCGCTACGCTACATTTTCCGTTGCGAAACGACGCGCAATTCTAAACAGCTGTCTGCTGGCTGGAAGGGTTACGATGTCGCGGTCGTAAATAGACGAACGCTGACACACGCATTGGGTGGCCTGGTGGTTGTTCCACTAGCTGTTGCGCTCGAGCACTAGTGGATATTCCGATGAGTGAGATCATGCGTGCGATATGGGTGCGGATGACAGACAAGACAATCACTGCGTGGGAGCTGTGCGTGACAGAGTCGCTGACAGACCGACAGAAACATGACAGGCGTGAGATGAACTCACCGTGGGGGCTCGGCATTTGGAGCTGTCGACCTCAGCAGTCGACATCTCAGTGAGGCTGTCGACATGCCGAGCTCTGGATGAACACCATGTGCTAGGCAAATATGCATGCGTAGTGCGCGCAATTGATCTTGTAACTGTCAGGAACATGGCCGCTACGTATGGATTTCAGACCACCACCTGAATGAGAATGCTGTTCCTACCGAATACGGGCTTGTGGAAATTCGCTACGTGTGGGGCATTGCTAAATGTTAGAAACTTTGACTCTGCTATCCAATGGATGCCGGCGTTTCTCGTGGCAATTCCATTTGGCACGCTTGTCATACAGCGGGTGTGGTGACCCGTAACAGCTGTCAGCTAATAAGTAATATTTCGATGAGCGATGGAATGCCGAGGTCCTAACGGTCGAGTTGTGATGGTTCATTATACGCTTCCTAAGGCTCTATTACCGTGCTAGGTCTTTGGATTCCTGCGGCTGCCTCTGTCAGAATTTGGTTAGCTTATGGACGATTAATTTTCTCTTAGAATGGAAAGCAGTGATGTGGTATCGCTTTGAAGAGGATAACGTCGAGCAGGGATGAGACTTGTATGTACTTAGTGGTACAAAACGTTTGTCCTTTACTGCTTTGGCTCTGGTTTTGGTTCTTGATATCCTAAAATGCTGCAAGCATGGTCCCGAGTAAGTTTTTGCAACGATGCTTAGCATATTCTTTAAGTTTCTCAGTGCTTGTGCGAGGATCATATTAATTTTTTTAATATGATTCATTTTTTAGCTTTGTATTCTGATGAAGAGCTGTGCTCGAAATTATTAATAAACAAGTGTTTTGATCTAACTTTTTTTTTCAAACTACGAGGGTAAGGTCATTAATCAAGATGCTTAGCATAATTCAATCTCCTCATTGGCCGCACGTATGATCATGTTGTTTCATCCTTACAATGTCTCTGAGAAAATCGAGTCATTGGAATGTTTTTAAAATTATGTTAGATCGCTCATTGGTTGTTATTATTAGTTTTTTTTTTGTCCGGCTATTTTCGATGCTCACCGCCAAGTACCTCTTTATGATTGGGAAATTTGATGGCTACTGCAATGTGCTCCTGCATTTATTTATTTATTAATTTCACATCGAAAGGCACGTTCACTGAACGCAGCGGCGGCCGAATCGCCCGAGCTTTCACTGTTAGTGTGGCAGGTATTGCTCACGTAATTCTAATCCAATGCCCGACCCGGCCCTTGAGGCACTTCACCAGCTCTGGCCAAATGATCCTATGACGTCATAAAGTGCTGTGATAAGCCAGCCAATTATAGAGAGCGCCCGGAGGCTGCGAACCGTTAGCCACCGATGCGGTGGATGCTTGCGCCATCTAGGAGGACTGCCAAATGAGGGAGGCTAGGGTCAAAATCAGATAAATAATAATATGAATTATGATATCGTAAGTGCCTTGCAAGTTTGATTATGCATTAGGTATTCATGGAACAGCTTGGTTTTCAATGTCGAATAAGAGGTAGGAACATGTCGTAGGAAAAATATCGGCAAAACCATAAGAACCATAACTACCATCGGAAGGCATATATATATTATTGTATCGTTATATAGGTTTTATATATTGCGGGTTTTCATTCAGGTTTGAGGTCCTCATATTTGTCCAGTGAAAACGCACAGACCTGAAGAGCAATTATGAATAATGCAACCGGCTCTCAGCACACATCATGTCTTCTGATGCGCCGAACTAAGAAAAGGCATCATAATTCTGGAATAATAAAAATATTATACCGGTGCGGTTACTTTTGAAGTTCAAGATGTTTGTGACACCGGCATACCTTTCAGCTGTAAATTTAGTACGGTAGGTATATACAATTGTCAATTACCCGGCTACTGGCTGGGTCGTTTGGCGGGGAACTACGGATGCTTACACTTCCACCGCTAGATGTCACTGGCGATGCGCCTGAAGGTAGGCTGTGCCGCAGGGCCTTTCGTGCCGCCTGGCACACTGCATGAGGCTGAGTGTTTCGATTCCACGGGCGC